AGGCCATTTAAAATCACATTTCTAATGCAATAATCCTATCTGCATTACAATGAGTTGGGTTGAAATGATTAGGTGCCCCAGATTTTTGCACAGTGAATTAAGTCACCATACAGACTGACCGTGCTTGTTCACAAATTAAAGGTCTGGAGACAGAAATGAAATTCCATTATTGTGCCACTTGCTAGGTTTTGGGGAAAGGTTCATTACTGTCGTGTCTCTACTGGGAACGTTTCTAAAGTAGCTACAAGCTAACAGGAACCTATTTATTAGATCAGCTTCAGGGTTTTCTTCATTATTAATAATTATTAGTCAAGTCTTTGACTACTAAATACCTTTGAAATAGAAAAAGTTGAATTCAATCATACACAAGCAAAAAATGAGAGAGAGTGTCAGTAAATTTGTGAAAAAGGAAACCAAAACTGTACCCTGAATACAAGTCCTTGCCTTACTCCTTCACAGACACACTGTGCTAAACCAGAATTTACCCAATTCTTAGAGGCACAGACTTTTTACCGAGGGGAAAGTACAGCATATAAATCACCTAACAACATCAGTGCTATGCATCTCTAGCATTTAAAATAGCATCCTTACTTCCTGACCCAATCATAACATGCCCAAGCAGATATTCATGTCTACGCATTCGAATTACCTCTTGGCTTTAAGCCTCTATTCAGGATTTTTTGGAATCACATACTAACAAATCTATAATCACCAGCTTGAGACTTTTCTTATTAGTGTTCAATCAATTATTTACACACAATATAATTTGATACACAAATATAGCAACTCTTCAGTTAAACAATGATTTATTTATTTTTTGTTTGTCAGATGCCTGCAAGGCTAGTGTTCCGGTGAAGACAGAGGATATCACAGGTTTGAACCCAAGGCAACTAGATTTCACACAAATTCTGATAAATAGGGAGTATCATGCCATAAACCTCTATGCTACACTTCTGAAAACATAGCCTAAGAAAAAGCTTAAAATTAAAAAAAAATATTAGTCATTTTTGAGACAATCCTTATCATTGTACAAATGCTTTGACATTGTAGCAAAAAACCCACAAACAATGGCCAATGGCTCTAAGATCCTTTCAGTTACAAACTGCAATGTGCAGCTAAAACAACCACTTGTGCTAGTCATTTCCCACAGGCGTGCTTCGCATGGGGGTTACAATAAGATTTCGTTCTCGTAAAACATAACCCCTTGCATGCAGATAATTGCTGTACATCATTAAGTCACATCTGTATCACAAGAGGGGAAGAAGAAGAAACAAGCATCTAGCATTTTTCTTTTTGCAGCTGGCAGGGAACCTAGCATTTTAAAATGGGTAAACTAAAGTAGCGCAACTATAATTATATATTCCTCACCTTTGTGCCTCACCAAAAAGAAAAAAAATCCCAAATTTTCATCCTGTTGATATATTAGGAGAGAATGGTTCCATTTAAAACTGAAAGCTCAACACTAACAATGAGCTACTCAGAAGCAGTTTGCTCTAGGTTAAGTGTGGGGTTTTCTGTATCAAATGAAAAGCTTCAGTACATAGCTTCATGGATAAAGCCTGGTCTGTTTATGCAGCAATTAAGTATACTATTATACTTTGCAGATATACACAAACCTTTACATGACTACACACTGTAGAAAATGTCAATGTAGGTTCACATTCGGATACGTTATTGCTGATTCCAGTATCTGCTACTAGATACGTGTCAACACACAGATAGCCTCATATTCTGCTTATTCTGCAATACACAATACCCAGGGTTATATACATTTCAAAATACAGTATAAGTGTGAAACAGGTGGCACAGACTATATTTCATAGAATCACAGCATCAGTCATAGAATCATCTAGGCTGGGACTTTTAATATCATCCAGTCCAACCATCAACCTAACTCTGATAAAAAAAACCACACAAAAGAAAACCATACAAAAAAACCCCCACATTACTAAACTATGTCTCTAAGTGCTATGCCAGCCCATCGTTTGCAAATCTTCAGGGATGGTTCCTCAACCTCTTCCCTGGGCAGCCCATTCCAATGCTTAACAACCCTTTCAGTGTAAAAATGTTTCCTAATATCTAAGCTGAACCTCCCCTGGCGCAACTTGAGGCCATTTCCTCTTGTCCTACCGCCTGTGACTTGGGAGAAGAGACCAATCCCCACTTCTCTACAACCTCATCTCAGGAGGCATTTTTAATGCTAATGAAATTTCTAGACTGTCTTCAACAGCACCAACAAAAATCATCATGCAAGTCAGCTAGATCCAGCTGACTAGGAAATGACTGATACACTTTAAACAGTCCATTTCATTGCTCTAATAAAGGTGTATTGCCAATTAGCCATTGTCTTACCGGGCACTACAGTCTTGAATTGTAAGATGCTTTGCAAGTTCCAAGGAAATACCCAGAACTGGGAATGTGATCTGCTCCTTCTTGCACCGAGCTCAGTGGCAGGATCAATTCTAGCCCCACACCTCAATCCAATTCCCATAGCAATAATCAAGAGCAGACTTCACAGGACCTTGAAAAATGCCAGCTACATTAACACAGCATGGGAGACTCCAGTCTCAGTCCAGACTGAAGTAAGATTTTTCCCCCGGGCGCATGACAGGTTTCCACATTCTTGCAAGAAACCCTGTATGTCTCACCCTCAGAGGTCCTGCTTTCCCCTAGGCAGACACTGATCAGGCTGCCCAGTGGGTGCCAGAGACAACAAACTTGCAAGACCAGCACAACAACCCTGACCCAAAGAAGTCAATGGCACTACCCATGATATTTGTATCCTGTATCACCTCACTGTGCTCAGCAGCATCTGCTCAGGACAGAAATCACAAGCCCAGGAAGTTCTTAACAGTTGTAAGCAAGCCAGAAAGCATGAGAAAAAAGGGATGCTCCTGTAAATAGCCACAGCCAGGTAGCATCCATCTGCAGAAGAGAACTATGCACCAAAGGCTGGAGCACCTCAAAAGGATTGAGCCTACAAGTACTATTAAGCATAGCAAATAAGGCAGAGGGTCACCGTAGCGCAGAGACCACCTAAGCGCACACACTGGATAGCAATGGTTTTGTAAAAGGCACTCCTACAGAACTGGAAGGCTTGGAAAGGAGATGCAAGAATAAAAGAAGAACATAGGTAAGGGGGCTAAAAACTGAGAAGTAAAGCTTACTACTGACACCAACAAAGATTGGCCTGTGCAAGACCATCAGAACAGAACACGAACAACAGAACAGAGCAAATAACAGTGGTAACACAAGGGTAACATGTCAGGAGAGCTAACATAAGCAACAACTGCCACTATTACAATAAGAGAAACCTATACAAATCTTTACGTGCAAGATCTGTCAATTTCTGTTTAACACTCTGTGAAGGATACAAAGCCTTGATGCTTATGTTTATCTTCCCTCCACCCCCAATTTCAGTTATTCGGATGGCTCCTGTATCTGTATCATTAGTAATTTCCCACCTATACCCACAGCTAGTGATCACTATTAAATCACACAGCCTGAAATTTGTGGGGATTTTGGTACAGGGCCACTTCCCAGGGAATCAACCATGTATTCATATGGTTAAATTGTGTATTTATTTTGGTAGTTCCACCTTTCCCTTTTAATGAATAATTCCGTTAAACCAGCTCTTAAGACAAGGTAACAACCAGCCCTTGAGCCTTTTGTTCAAGAAAGCACCAACTCCCTCTCAAACTGCACATAAATAAATAATGGAGAGTACAACACAACAGTAATACCAAGGACCCTTTCTCAGCAGTCAGCTCTTTTCCATGATACCTCTTTATTGTAACCACTAATGAAAACTTTGAAGTGGAAGAGTAAATATTATCATTTGATAGTACCTGGACCCAACAGGGCAAACAAAATTGCATTGTATTACATTCTGGGAGCTTTAGACCCATTCACAATACAACGTTCACAGGGTTGCTATGGAGGAGCCCAGTGCTTACTATTTTGGTAGCACGGGGTCAGCCAAGGGCTGCTGGTCACTCTTTTAGGGCTGTTAGCCTTAGTCATTATATGCACAACAAACAGGGAAAACAAACAAAAAAAAAAGCTAAACAAGACAAAACCAAGGAATTTCAGAGTATGCCTTTGGAGGTACCAGATTACCCAACAGAGACAAAAAGCAGAGTTCCAACTCTACCCATGATCAGTCAGCTCTCAAAACCTGAGGCCAGATTTCAGAAATGCTTTCACACTTTTTAGGCACAGGATTATTCAACCCACTACTCAGGATCCAGCAGCTTTGAGTACTTTTAAGTTTTACTATTAAAAAAATAATTCTCTGTAAGAGAAAAGCATTAGTAGGTTGTCCTTTTATTAATGACACCCCAGAGAGTATAATGACACCCCAGTTCAATGCCATGGTCTGCCACAGCCTCCCTGGGTGACCTTTGGGCTCACAGAGCATTTCAATGTCTCGTCTGAACCTGGAGCTGCAGAAGGGTCTCTGCTGCACCTGGCCCTGCAATGAAGTACAATCGGTGTGCATCAGACCATACACATCTTACCACTAAGTTGGCTGCCAAGTCTCAGAATATTTTGTAAATTCATCCCACAAGGATCAAAGACAGCAGAAGGAGAAGGGACCAATGACTCCCGTGTGGCATTCCCACCCTTGTTTGCCCCTCACTAGAAACAGGAGTAAGTACACAGGAAATAACACCACAAAATCAGCATCAAGGCAATGAAGGAGGGGGGCAAGGAGTGAGCTGGAGGGACTGTCACAGAGGACCCCTCGAAGCCTGGCAGTTCCCCAGGAAGCAGGAGGAGGGGATGGGAATAGCGAACGCGACCAAGCAGGAGAGAACCCAAATGTATCCCAAACCCCTCCGGGGTGACAGCGGCAGAGGGGAGCCCAGGCGGCCGGCAGCCCCAGCGGGGAGCCGTCCCGCAGCCCCACCGGCCGTGGGGGGCCGGTCCCAGGTGCCTGCGGCCCCGCAGCGCCAGCGGGCACACGGATCCCCCCGCTCCGCCCCGGCCCCGCTCACCTTGCTGCTGACGGGCCCGGGGATGAGGAGCTTCATGGCCTGCCTCTTCAGCTCCGCCAGGCGGGCGCTGCAGTGCTCGCACCACACGCCGCGGTCCGAGCCCGGCGAGGAGCCGCCGCCGCTGCCGGAGCCCGGAGAGCCGGTGCCGAAGCCCGGCGAGCCGCCCAGAGAGCCGGGGGAGCTGGTGCCGATGCCGGGCGAGGCGGGTCCCGGCGAGCCGGTGAAGGAGCCCGGGGAAGAGGTGCCGGAGCCGGGGGACGGGGTGCCGGAGGAGCCCAGGGCAGAGCCCGCTCCCTCCGGGGCCGGGCGGCTCCCTGCCCGGGACTCCTCGTACGCCTTCCGGTACCAGCTCTCGGGGGAGAAGGGGGCGGCGGGCTTGGTGGGGGAGCAGGGGTCGGTCACCTGGAGCGGGAGAAGGAGCAGCGGGTCAGACGGGGGGGCCCGGCGGCGCCGGCAAGTTTCGCTCGGACGCTCCGCGCCCGCGGCCGCCCCCGCGCCTCGCCCGCCCCTGCGGGACGCCCAGAGCCGCCGCGCACCGGGTACGTCGAACGAGGCCGGGGGGCGATAACCGGCGGCGCCGGTAACCGGCGGGCGAGGGGCCGCGGGAGCCCCGGCGCGCGCGGCCCCCCGCGGCCCCCCCCCCCCCCCCACCCGCCGTGACCTCAGCGCGCGCACCGGGCGCGCGGCCCTCACGTGACGCAGGTAACGGTCCCCCGCCCCGGCGCTCCCTCAGCGCGGCCTGTGCCCCGGGCGGCGGTGCTGGTGCCGCTGTCTACGGACGGGCCGGAGCCTCCCCGCCCCCGCAGGTCTGTCAGCGCCGGCGAAGGGCGGGGGACGGCGGTGGCTGGAGGAGCCGCCGCCGCTGCCGGAGCCCGGAGAGCCGGTGCCGAAGCCCGGCGAGCCGCCCAGAGAGCCGGGGGAGCTGGTGCCGATGCCGGGCGAGGCGGGTCCCGGCGAGCCGGTGAAGGAGCCCGGGGAAGAGGGGCCGGAGCCGGGGGACGGGGTGCCGGAGGAGCCCAGGGCAGAGCCCGCTCCCTCCGGGGCCGGGCGGCTCCCTGCCCGGGACTCCTCGTACGCCTTCCGGTACCAGCTCTCGGGGGAGAAGGGGGCGGCGGGCTTGGTGGGGGAGCAGGGGTCGGTCACCTGGAGCGGGAGAAGGAGCAGCGGGTCAGACGGGGGGGCCCGGCGGCGCCGGCAAGTTTCGCTCGGACGCTCCGCGCCCGCGGCCGCCCCCGCGCCTCGCCCGCCCCTGCGGGACGCCCAGAGCCGCCGCGCACCGGGTACGTCGAACGAGGCCGGGGGGCGATAACCGGCGGCGCCGGTAACCGGCGGGCGAGGGGCCGCGGGAGCCCCGGCGCGGCTCTCCGAGCCGCCCCTCCTCCGACAACTTACCCCGTATTTTCTGCTCCGCGCCGTGACGGCAATCCGGTCCTTATTTCCAGCCACGGAATTCATGGTGGCTTCGCGGCGCGGCGGGAGGATTTCCTACAGGTTTCCCAGTCCGCATCCGAAGGGAACAGCCGGTCCCGGGAAGTCCCCCGGGGAGCGGGCGGGCTGCTCCCCCTGCCCGTCGCAGCCTCCGCCGCCTCCGACGGGATCGCTCGGCCCCGAAATGCCCTCAGTTCTCCTGAAAACGCTTGGGGATGGGGTTTTCTCCCGGTCGGTTTTTCCTCATTGTCTTCCCTCTCATTCCTTTACACCCCGTGTTTTCACAGAAACAGCACCATTCAGAGCAGGAGCGTTCCCCCCGCCCGCAGCTCTCCTCCGCAGGCGCGGCGAAGCATCCAAGGGAGCTTTAGGAAGGTGGAAAAGGGAGCGGGAGCCGCGCTCGCCCAAGCAGAGGCGCTTTCTGCCTCCGCTACAGCGGCAACTTGTTTCCTTCACCAAGGTTTGTAACTGAGTTAAAAGAAAGCCTCCAAAAATATCGGGATCCAGGCTCTGGGAGGAGCCTCTGCGTCCCTTACAGCCAATATCCTCCTGCCCATTTGTGCCTGACAGTTTCGCAAGGGGAGAAAAGGAGGGAAGGGAAAGGCAGGCAGACCCGGGCTGCGGAGCCCCGTGCGCTCCCGGGGCCGGTGGCTGCTAGCGGGCTGCCACAGCCTCCCCGCAGCTCGGCGCCCTGCCTCCCCTGCCAGGAGGGTCCATTTTATTTTGCAGTATTTCTTGATTGACATCTGTGATTCCTCCCCCCCCCCCTTCTTTTCTTGGAAAGGGCGGGGGGTGGTTGGGGGGGGGAAGAGAACCTTGTTGCTTCCACCGCGGTTATTGGTTAGGGACCTCTATTCAGGGCTTTAATGAACGTGATTTCACAGGTGTTCCCAATCCTCCCTAAACAACTAAGAAAGAAAAGCGAGCCGTATTTACGACAGTCACTGGCATTTATTTTCTGTTGTAATTTTACATGTATTAATCTAACTTGCAGTCAAGGGCATAATAAATTGATCTCTTAACAATGAATTCCACAGACTTGGGTCTGGATTCACGTTTCCCTTCTATTTATGATTTCTTTTTGCACATTATGTGTATCTGGTTACAGATCCTTTTTTATTTCAAATCCTGCAGATAGCACAATCATCTCTAATAAATCTTCCTCCTCAAAACAAGTTGCTGATTTTCTCAGAAATGGATGCAATGGAGAGCTAAATGCCAGTTCCCCCTACGGGGCCATAACACGGATGGGTTGATGCAATTGGGAAGGCAGAACACACAGGGGACTGGCATCCACCTTTCCACCCACCTATTGTTACGTCCATATATCCATGCATCCTTCCAGCATCCCTAACGTGCCTGGGCTGTAACAGCCTTTGGGAAACAAAACCAGCCCACTCCCACTGCACCACTGAGCGAGGAATCTCCCGGTGCCTTTCTGCTCTCACAGACACTCTGCCGGTGGTAAAGGTGTGTAAGATGCTCTGCTGCCTTTTAACTTCACTGGGCTATCACCCTTAGAGCGGAGTAGCCATTCCTGTTCTGGTTAAGAAAGCTTTTAACCTAAAGTGATGCCACCCGAGGCTGCATCAGAAGTGCCTTATGCATTTGCACAGGTGCTTCCAAAAAGCTTGGCCAAGCGGGCAAACAAAGGAGATGCAGCCTTGCCCGAACTGCATGTGAGGGGGTTTCACACAAATCCTCGGGCAGAAATCCCCTGTTTTGTTCGGTAGAGAGACGTGATAGGTGTGACAAGGTAACGCGGGGAGAAGCGCTGCGGCAGTCCGGAGCGAGCCATACTCTGCAGGCCCCCAGGCACGGAGCGCGGGCAGCCACGCGCCCTTGACACCACGCTGTGTAACTTCTCATTTTCCGTTTTTTCTCAGCGATTCTGGTGGCGACCTGGCTGGTTTGCTCGGTGTTTCCAGCAGACCTTTCGTTACCCAGCTGCCAGCAACACCCACCGCCCCGCATCCGCCCCGCCGGCGGGCACCGTCCTGTGCCGGGCGCCGTGCCCGCCTCGGGGGGAGGGCGGCTCTCCCGGGGGAGTGTGTGTGTGTGTAAGGGGCAGCAGCTCGGCGAGCTCCCGAACAGCGGCGGCGCGAGCGACACGGGTGACCGTTAAACCGCCCATTTAACGGCACACCTGGGCGCGTGCCGGGGGCAGGAGGGGGGTAAAGCCGCGTGACCCGCAGGGGGCGGTGGCGGGCGCGGCCGGGCGGGGCGCCTCGCGTCGCTCG